GAAGAAAATATGGTGTGGAGGAAGGAAGGGGGATGGTGTGATCAAGAAAAATTTTCGGCCTTGCCCGGCTCGGGGGGGGGGGAGGGCATTATGCACACTCATTTTTTTTTGCTAGCTCCTGTCATTACGCGGTGTGTAAGCGAAGCTCATGCTACAGCAATCCAGCAATGCTATAGCTTTACAGAACTTCACAGGTATTCACAGGAGGCCTGCCTCGACTCATGGTCAGCGCAGGAGTGATCGATGAGACCCAGCAGAATGCCCCCACCAAGCCGTATTGCCGTATTGCGCCACACATTTCATATCCTACTGATGTGCCACGCCTGAAAGGCCCTGTTCACGGACTGATTCTCTTTCAACATATTTCAGTGTGTATTTTTGAGCTTATTTATTCAGAAGGATCATCGAGACACTACTCTCTTCATACAATTGAAAATAGTAGGTGGGACGGGATTATGGCGACATGTGAACAATTTACGTGGTCTCCCGTCATCACGAGTAGTTAAGAAAGGCTAAGCCGAGACACACGTCATTTCCGGATTATCGGATATAATTTACATAGTAAACATTTGAGCAGTCAAAGGGAATCATTCTAATGTACAGATTCAAGCTTCAAAAGACACACATAGAAGGATGAGATCAATTGAGACGCTGCTCGGCTTGGAGGGGGCATCTTGCACTTTTCCTAGTTCCTCTTGTTGGCTCATGTGAACAGGTGTTTTCTCAAGATGGCTTACAAGCTCAGAGTTTGGAGCCATTCGGTGCCCCCACCAAGCCCAACTGCGCCCCTAGTGAACGAAATGAAATCAGATTCAGAAGAAAAGCTCCTGCTCTAACGCAGGGATCACGATCAGCTACAGATTGATAGTGTCGACGATGATGACGTGATAGTCGAGTACGGCTCGCATTGCCTCCATGAAATCGGCGCCATCACTCACGGTGAACCCGGGCCGAAGTTTCTGGCCCAAATCGACAACGACGTTGAATTTATCACGTGCCATTCCGGGGATGCACCTGGTAGCTCTGAAATTAGTCGATGTTTGCTAGCGAAGCAATCCAATACAGGTAATGTCCTTTTTGGTATTTTCCACTGCTCCAAAGGTACAGTCCGTATCTTGGAGAAAGACGGGTCGTAACTGCGTACCCAATGACGTGCGTGCCAGTGGAAAAAAAACTTGTAGTTCCCAATAATGGAAAGGTTCTTCGTTTACACCACGGCACATCATTATTTGCAGATTTTGATAACATCATTATTTGCAGATTTTGAGAGAGGACCCCCTCTAAAATGTGACTTGATACGGCCTCCTCCCTAGTTCCATCTTCTGGGATACGAACGAACTGTCGAGCGGGATGGGAGGAGGTGTAGCACCTTCGAAACAGGAACATCGAAAATCACGAGGAAAATACGCCCCTCTCCCTTATAGTGTTCGTGAAACAAGAGAAATCAACTATAAAAAATTTTTTTCACACCAAACACGACCCGCGCCCCCCTCCGCCCCAGCGAACAAATACGACCCTCACCTGTTGGGAATACCCAACGATGATGTGCCTGGTTTACATTCAAAACTCAGTGACACTCAATCAATCAAATTAAAGAATGAGGAATTTGCATAATACTGGGAAGGAGCAGAAATTCTGAGAGGGACGCGCTCGCAATTACGGTCTCTCTCGCCGCGGGATACAGACACTCGTAATCACGCCCCTTGCTGCCCTCAGATATGGACTGTAAGTCAGTTTCAGACATAGTTTTGAAGCAGTTTAGTGATATTTTAGTCGGCTTACCTCTTCACGTCGAGTGCCCAGTAAATAGCTGCTGGTGCTGGTGATTTGCCCCAGATTTTCGTTGGACATTTGCACGTTTCTTGCTCCTGAATGAGTAAAATTAAAGTAAAGCAACTATAATAATTAAAAAAAAATTTTTTTCTACTCTAACGACGTACTCTATTTTAATAAAAAAAACTATAAAAAGAACACACCTCAAACCAGACAACTCGAATAAACTCGACAGGGATGGATTTGACTCTCTTCGATGGGAAGTGATAGTTTTTGATTTGAAGGGCACATTCGTTCACAGAGACAAATTCGTCCTCGTATAACAGAGCCATCGGTTTTTACTGAAAATATGCCCCTTGAAATTGTCAACCACTAGTTGGAAAAATCATTATGCGATCAACACAGCCATAAAAGAAAAGAAGTATGAAAAAATTTAGGCCGAGAAAATTTGGGCCGATTTAACTGAGTCGCAGGTCACTGTGTACGATTAGTGATAGCTGAGATGTAGTGGTGGGACGTTAAATCCATGCTGCGATGAGGATGGCAGAAGATGCTCCTCTCAAATAGCGTCATGTACTCGGCATTGGCATCAGGGCCTAACTGATTCACCATGGATCCGCAGCGCTTTATGTCGAGTAGACTATCCAGGAAATGCGTAACTTAGGCCGTCTGACCTTCACCAAGTATGCCTTCCGAAAGTCATAGCTTCGCTTTTCCTTGGCAATACCTTATGTTTTCGCGGTCAAAAAGGCTCTTAGTTGAGTTAAAGAGTTGAAAGCGAACGAAACGGCGTCCGATGAACAGACTAATCAGCTCCTTATCACACAAATAACATAGTTTAACAAAAAAGAGCTAATATGTGTGCCGTGTTCGGATTTCTGCTGTAGAAAACGAGGTCCTCTCAGAAGAGGGTTGGACAAATATGTATGTAGGGCTTTACGGAATCCTAGAAGTTACTCGAGACAATCTTTTTTTAGAACACCACATGTCATGCCACGAGACGAGAGTGCACCTGACCTCAAGACATAATCCTTAGCAACGCTTATTACTATATGGAAAGGAAGGTAGGGGCTTGGGGAAATGGTGAAGGTCTTCCCTTGCCAGCGACTAGGAAGAGTCGCGAACAATCATTGAGATCTGGTAATACCAGTAGTAAAAGATGCGGGAGTAGCGGCTGAGGCGCCTTTTTATGTAAGGAGCTGTCATTTATACACAAGAAAGAGGAATGAGTCTACACGCCGTGAATTAAGGAGAAGGAGACAGGAAGGAGACAAGAGGTCACTCAGCCCGTTGAACCCTGATCTTCAGCCAAACCAGATTCCTAGTGTGTAATCAGGACAAAATATCACCGCCTGATTACAGGCTTTGTACCATCGACAACCTAATAAGGGATTGAACGAGGGTGATAATTAATGCTAAAAATGTCCTCGGCAGGGCACGCCATACTTTGCGAGCGAGGGGATGGTCTCATATGGTCTCTGAAGGGGGTCGTACCAGTAGAGAAAACTTTCAGAGGGGGCGTAGGCTGCGAAATTTCCCTCTAATGTTCGGACGTGCCCTCACCCTCGGGCGGATACATAGGGGAGCCACCCCTCAACCACCCTTACACAGACAAAATTCCATCTTAGCGACTCAGGTTTAGCTTAGTCGTTTGTCACATTTTG